CAATGTGATGCATTCAATGAGAACAAAAGGGTGAAAGGGTAACAAGGATTAATTTAAAATATCATAATCAATCGTGCTCGCTTATATATATGTATCTGCATTTGTGCACCATCATCATCATCTTCGTGATTGAACTTCATGTGAGATGATGCTTCGATATAATGATCATTATTGTTCTAGAAAATGAATAAAATTTGGAAAAATATACAGGATGATTCATAAGTAGTTTAACGATAGAAAATTTAAATATGTCTATTCTATGAGACTAATTTCTTTTGTCTCGTGATAGAGAAAACTAAAGGGTTTTTTCTCATAAGAACTATTGCTTTAAAATATCATCATTGGCTTTAATTATGAATTTCTATCTTTTAGTATTGAAATACAATGCAGTAAAAATGAAAGTTATTTATAAGGGTAGGGAGATCTTCTAAAAAATTAAACTCGCAAATTTCCTTTATCATGCAAAAAATAATTAGTCTAATAGAATAGAACAGACATTTACTTTTGTTTTACTGTAAAGTTACTTATAGACTATCCTATATATAGAAAAATGAAGAAAAACTACTTTGTCTTCTAATTCAATCTAGTATCAGAAAAATAATCCACATACATCGCTAAAAAGTATGAATGAAGTGAAATTCTGTTCATTCATTGTATTTGTTGTCAAAGTATTTTATATTAAATTTAATAAAAAAAAAATAAGATTTATAGTTTTTTAACCGCTTTCAATTGTACTTACATTGACTATGCGTATCAATTGGTTGTACATAAGTCGATGGAATTAAACCAACTTGATCACCAAAACGAGCTTTAAACCATCCACTAGTATCAGCTTCATGTAATATTTCTAAAATAGCATCAGCTGGAAAACTTAATTCATCATCTTGTTGAGCTTCATATGGAAATATAGCAATATATTGAGGTAATTTTAAAGAAAATATCAAATATGTTAGATTTATGTACAAGAAATTATTCTTGAAGACCAATGTTTATCAAGAATTTATTGAAATGAAAATAGACTTCTTGTATTTGTACACAATTACCAGGAAACCAGCCAACACGTACTGGTTGATCAGGAAGCTTTTATTAAGAAAAATGTTTATATGAAAATTAGAATGAAAGAAAAAAAAAGAAAATTATGATTTACTCGAATTTCTCCTTAATACCATCCTTTATCATCTTTTTTGGTTATATAAATAATTTGACCTTGTTCAAATGATAAATGATTTTCTTCTGTAGCTTGAAATGGTGTTATTGCAATGGCTGTTTCTTGTATGTTATTAACTTTCTGAACAT